GGATAACAGTTCAAATAATGTAAATAATGTAAGTAATCATATTACCTCATCTCAGATATATAGAGACCGAAACGTTGTGAATATGGCAATGAAAATGAGGATAACAATCCGAATAATGTAAATAATGTAAGTAATCATAATAATTCATCTCAGAAATATAGACAAATATTGATTTGTTTTTTTACGGCTTATCAACACTTTGTGATTTATATTTAAAGGCGAAATATTTTTTGATTGTAAGAATAATTCCTTTTTGTGAGTGGCTATTGTATTAATGAATATTTGGAGATAATGATTTCCCCCAGATACAAGTCCTATTATTTAACCCATAGTTAGATGGATTCATAGATTTCCCAAATAACAAAAATTTACACGTAAGTAAAAATAACAAATTCGAAGTCTATTTTCCGTTTTAACATACCGAGATGATATCTCTTATACATTCTTCTATGTGCCATACCACTTCAGAACGTTGGCGGTCATGGCTCTCTACAATTTCCTATCCTTTGAAACATAATATATTTTGTCTTTTTTGTTTGCTCTCCTAAACCCTCTTCTGCTATCCATTTTCACAAGATCGTTAGGGAGGGGTTATGCACTGTTTCCCTCTGCTCCTCTTTCCCTCACTATGTCCTGTGAGTATCAAATTTTCTAAGCCCTCTTTCCTGACACTAGAAATTTCAACTGCCTCTTTTTGATGTTATTTATCACATAAATGAGGTTCCATCCTGGTCACAATTACGGAATCATCAGACTCAGGGGAAATTGCAACATTTTTAATTCCCAACAAATATATAATACATATTTTCTTTAATGGCTGGACATTCTCAGTGATGACATATTTCCCTCTCCTTGATCTGGGAAAATATGCTATTAATTTAAATAATTTAATGTAATTTGCTTGAGGTTTTATTTCACACGGTCAGAATGTTCAGTGATTAAAAGATGTCTTGTGTCATTTTTGTCATTTGATTATTTGCTTCAAAAAAAAAAAAAAACTCTTCTAAGTTTGTTGATTTGCCAAGGGGCTGACAAGTTGATTAAAATAGCGTGAGGGGTAATCACAGGACCGCAAAAATCAATTTGAATATGGCATCATTAATGAGAGAATTCTGGCACGTTTCTACATGTGAAGATGATGTTATCTCGTATGCGCATAGAGATTACATTTGAAAATTGACTGTCATAGTTTCCATACCCTATAGATAAGGTGTAATCAAAAGCACGTTTCAACCCACTTCCAAAAATAAAAATAAATGAGATCAAAAGTCAGAATTCTTTGGAATCACTAATCATTATATATACTTGTTATATTTGAATAGCACTTTTTTTCTTTCGAACCTGTCCTTTTAAATATAAATGGCATTTTGCGTTTATTAAATTTAATGATCTTTTTCTAATGTACGAATATCCTTTCCATAATGTGGTTGTTGTATCTGGATAAAGTTTCGAATCAAATGAGTTATCATCAGGAAGGATTGAGTAAGGAAAGAAAACTAAGTATGCTTTAAAAAGTAGAAGTATAATTATTTTTTTTAAAAGCGTGTTTATTTTAATACTAAATACGGTGAAATGCATGTGGGGCCAACCTTTAATACCTTAATATTTTACAAGAATTCAACTATGTGCTATTTAAAAAGTTAATCTATGGATGATTATTTAAACTGGATTTAAATGGCTTTAAAAATATTTAGGATTTTTTTGTACATTTATAAAAATTGTATTATTATTATTAGAAACTAGTTTTCTGATATTATTGTAAATCCTCTGAAGCTTGTTAATGTGTTGGCATATATATCACTTTAAATAGTATATCTATTTTCGTCCACCGGCCTGAATATTCGAGAAATCTTATTAAAGAAACAGATGCGCCCTCTCGAAGGATTCGAATCATCGCCCGCCCCCACTTTGCTGGAGAAACTGTCATTAGATCCTACGTACAATAGACCGACTCGACCACGAAGGCCAAGTAGTTCTGCAAGTTCGAATTCTGCCGGAAGACATATTTTTCTTTAATAAGATTTCTCGAATATTCAGCCTAATAGACGAAAACATATATACTGTTTGAAATAAAAGAAGCTTCTCTACTCAAATACGAGCATCCACTAAAAATAACGTTTGAATTGATAAAAATCAGACGGATTAGTAAATAAACTCTTTATTAATAAATAAATTATTATTTATGATGAAGATCGCAAGACTCGAAACTCGTGTAGCAAAAAATATGGAAAATAAAGTATAATATATATATATATATATATATATATATATAAATTATACTATATATATATTATATTATACTTTATTTTCCATATTATGATCAAAAACGTTTGCAGCTTATCTTTTCTCTTTGACATATATATATATATATATATATATATATATATGGATAGCGACTTGGATTGAGGAATCAGAGAGCCGAGTTCGAATTCCAGTCGAATCCATTACATTTGCTTATGTGCTAATACCCTTGGAAAAGGTGTGAATCCTCTTCTTCTCCCTCAAGATATGGGTAAATAGCAGGTCTGACTGGGTTCTATAGCCTTGGATGGCAACTGGTCTAGGAGAAGGACAACTCTGAATTCAAAACCTGCGGAGGGTCGTTTGGGGAGCTTGTGGCACTTAGTGCACCGGGTCTCTGTATTCGGCCCTTCAAAAAGTGTGGATGGTCCTGCACGAAACCTTCACCACTATAATCAAATCTCATGTGTTGTTGTCGGGCTGTCGGTTTCCTGGGATCTGCTTGATCTGCTTGACCCTCATACGTCGAATTCGACGGGAGAGTCGACTATATATATATTCCTGTACAGAGCATGTGTAAATATAAAAATGGACACTGATGTAGATACAGAACGGTGACAGGATATTACATGCGTAAACGCAAATTCAGAAAGGCTTGAAGTTTGCGTTCAATCTTGAAACATTCTGTTACTACACTGTATTGACTTCAGTGTGTCTCTTTATATTTACACACGCCATGTTTCTGATATTGAGAACATTTACCCATAAATATAACATACTATAAAA